GGGGGGGGGGCGGAGATAGATTTAGAACCCCTGTCACTTTGTCATTCATTTGCATTTAATTTTCACGACATGCAATTGAGTAAATTCAAGAGGAGCATATCTTATTTTGCGGTTTTTCAGCGGTTTTGGATTGCCTCTTCTAAAAAGTTTATTTATTTATTTATTTCAAATGGCAGGCGTTATGATAGTTATCATTAGCCCTTTAGTTGACTTCGTGCTTCACAGAAAGGAAGAGGAACGCCAAAGTGGCAAAAAGTCGAGAGGGAGGACAGAATAATGATTCACAGACGTAAAAGAGACAGACACAAGGGTAGAAAAATGTGAGTACTGTGGAATTAGTCGAATATGAAATGCGGCGGGGTCTTAGTAGTTTGAAGTCAGAAGTCAACTGCCGATTAATAGACTTTTTTGCCGTATGAGCATACGTTGCCCAGGATGCACCACGTGGAGGTAAGTCTATTGCACACCCCGAAAAAAGTTTGTTTATAGAAAACTAATCCTGGGTTCCTAGTTCTCGGCAAGATTAAATGTGCATCTATGAAAGTTCAATGGTGTTTAGTAAAAGAGAGTAAATTGCCCAAATTTCATTTGGTGGAACAAATAAGGAACTATTTTTTTTTCAAATTGAAAATCGTTTTATTGGCCTATGATTGTTATTGATGGTATTAACTCTCCTTTTTTTCATGAACATCCATCCAATGTGCAAATATTCTTTACTTTTCATATCTCACAGTTTTAATCTCAATGCTAGGTAAAAGAAGGTCACCTGATGCACTTTGTCCAACTACTCTGGTCTTAAATTTTATTGGTGTGATCAGCGATTTGCCACTTTAAACATTAAACGCTATCCTTGCAATGATTAGAAAATAAATATGACTGTTTGTCTTTTTAAAAAAAATTCTACCTAAAATCAGATTACTTGAGTAATTTGCTTTGGTTATATCTTTCGAAAGAACTCTCTAACCAATTTGGAAAGGCGTTTCCCAGCATTCTCTGCAATCATTAAGAGAAACCCAAATTCTGTCTTCCATTTTATTGACTAAACTTTGCCAATGCAGCCGTGTATTCAGCCCATTACAGGGTCGAATCCGTGATAGCCAACTTCGTAGACAACCTATTCAATTGGCACACCAGCCTCCTTTTGACAACTCCAACTTGGAACCCGGCAATAATTAAATTTTTCTACCCTCTTACAATCAGGTTCTTGTGTGGGTGTTCAATTTCATGGCGTTCGGCAAGCCTTTGTTCTATTACCAATTTGTGGAGGATGCTTTAATTTCTCATGAACTGCTTACTTCTTGTACTCTGAAGTATCATTTATGTGTTTACGTTAAATGGGGGCCAAAATGAATGTGTTCATAGCGTCGTCACTTTCGTATTAGGAGGATGAACTGACGAATAATGGCAGTGTACAAACATAGGTTCATTTACCTTCACACAATCTCTATTGAAATTAGCTGATGATCCAATGGCATTTTACTTATCCCCGAATGCATTGTGCTTCCAACTTACATGAGGTGGTGATTTAAGTGATTTGCTTTACTGAATTCACTAAAAAGTGTCTGGTTTTCACCCATTTTATTCTTTTCCCATCATAAAGTTCCGAATTTGCACTGATTTGTCTTCTAGGAATAGAAGCCTCATCTTCCCCGTGTTGTTACGAAGTTCCTTTTCTTAGGGCTGGAGAAATGAAATTGTTTGCCAAAGTCCTCTTCTTATTTCTTTTCAAATTCATCTTACCACGTTTGACCCTTATTAAAGTAATCAAATTTATTCACAAGAGGATGGATTATTATTATTATTATTTATAACAAATGGCAGGCGTTTTGATAGTTATCATTAGCCCGTTAGAGGGAAGGAGGAACATCAGAGTGGCTTCACAGAGGGAAGGAGGAACATCAAAGTGAGAAGAATTCGGGAGGGAGAATAGAAGAGTGATTCACAGATGTAAAAGAAACAGACAGACACAAAGACTCAGAAAGGGTAAGATGAATACTGTGATAGGGGTCGAATATGACATACGGTCGGGTCATGGTTGTTTGAAGTGAGAAGTCATCTGCCGGTTAATAGACTTTTTCGCCGCATGATTATACGTTGCCCAGGATGCACCACGAGGAGATAAGTCTATCCCACACCTCTTATTATTAATTTCCTTATGCCTATCGTTTCCGGTAAAAGCGTAATATAATGCCCACTTTTAGTTTTGTTTTGCTTGAATTACAGTCTATTTTGAATGAAGGAATTTTCGGTGTTTTGCACCGCATTCTTTCGTGATTTTGTGCACCTAATGCTATGGTAATAGCTTTGGCTAGAAGTCACCAATCTGTACCATTTTTTTGTTTTTATTTACTCACGATAAGTAATTAAGCTTGATAACGTTTTCCCGTCTTGGTTTGTGGGAATCCCAAATCAGTATGTTTCATAGCTTGGTTCTTATTGCAAGTCAGGAACTCAAATTTCTCATCTTTCAACGATTTTGCGGACAAAGGATTCCCATAGTCTGGATGTTTGTCAAAATTCCCTTGAAAAACGGCAGTTTGAGTGCGATTGGCTTCCTCAAGTGGACAAATTACCTCACTTTTCTGTTTGAGCATTTATATTCGACACAGCATGGTGATAAGTGATTTAGTCAGAATGTCTTGTGGGGACTAGTGTGCTGTTGTTAATGTTATGGGAGGCATTCTCGAGAAAAAAGAACTAGATCGATTTTATTGTTGCCTTCTATTTGTGGGCCTTTTAAGTGAGAACAAAAGCTTTAAACTTAACGGTTGGTTCAAAGCAAAAAGTCGAATACAGCAGTATAGAGCAAACGATTGTTAGTATAATAAGTTATGTGGCCATTTTTATTGTCGCTTTTTAATTGTATTATATTTTTTTGCTGCAGTATCTCCGTATTATCCAAATATATGACTTTTCCTTATTCCGAAACTGCTTTAAATGGACTTACATGTTTTTTTTGGCAGAAATTGGACCAGTTCAACTGTTGTTCGTTGTGGCAAACTGTGTACCATCGTTCACTCCTGTAGCATAATTGCGTGAACTACATACTCATATGTTATCTTTTTACTTTTGTGGCATTTCCATGTTATTCTTTGTGTTTAAAATATTTTTCTTCGTAAATTTATCTTGACATTACACTTTTGCATAGGCATGGATCTGTCCTATTTGCTCCACGCCAAAAATCCTAGTTGGAATATATTGGAAAGCATGTTTTGATTAAGCTAATTTACATTTTCTGGCATTTAAGCTGTTATCGAAACAAAAGTTATTCATACTATCAATTATTTTAACTAATAATCAAAATACTTTTTTGTGAAATAATTTACTGTAGATTTTGTAAATTTTTTGGGATTGTAGTATTCTTTATTTTATGTTGTGGATCTCGTAACTTATTTCAGATTTATAATATATGATGCAATTTAATAAATAACTAATTGAAAATGATCAATTGTACTCTGTAAATAATCGTTAGGGTTTTTGGATGAATTTTGAATTTTACTTTTATATTTAGATTCCTTACTTCGAACGCGATCAAGTTCCTCCCCAGGCCAATTCTGTTCCCCAGAACCGATCTCAACTTCAACCATCCGCCAAAACCAATGGGGATGGATCAAGACCCAATATAGTAAGTCTGTCTTGCCATATTTATGTATCTGCATTTGAAGAAAAATGCATCTTTTAGTTCATAATTTAGTTTTCGCCATTTAATATTGAAATTTTAACTCATATATAGATTTTTTATGAGATTATAGTCCGAAAATTAATTAAATATATCATTACTTGAATCCACTATTTTGGCATTGGTCAATATTTATTTGTGTCAAATGGTGGGCTTTATGTGAGTTATCATTAGCCCTTTTGTTGACTTTGGGCTTCACAGAGAGGCGGAACGTCAAAGTGAGTAAAAGTGGAGGGGAACAGAAGAGTGATTCACAGATGTAAAAGAGACAGACAAACACAAAGGTAGAAAAAAGGTGAGTTGAATACTGTGGAAGGGTTGGGAACAGAAGAGTGATTCACAGATGTAAAAGAGACAGACAAACAGACACAGAAGCAGGGAAAAGGTAAGATGAGTACCGTGAAGTGGTGGAATATGACATACAGTGGGTCATGGTAATTTGTCGGTTTATAGGCTTTTTTGCCGTATGATTATGTGTTGTCTATGATGTACCACGTGGAGGTAAGTCTATCGTTTACCCCTTGGTCACAATTTTTCGGCTGGAAAAACCGCCATAATGTAATTAATTTTTTATGCAAAGCACATTCCCCTTCCACTTAGAAAAGGTCGCCAGTAGGATTTAAATTTGAGTTTGCCGTTGAGCCGGCTATTTTTTTCTGGTAAAATTATGACTTTTAAGGGTCATGATTTGTCGCACTTTTGAGAAACATCATTTCATTTGGTATAAATATATTCACTTCCTTATAAAGGTGCTCTATATTATTAGCACAAGTGAATGCATGGGAAAATGAGGAGTCTTATTTATTCCTATTTCATTTCGGTTGGGAAGACAAAGCGCTTGAGCTTTTTAGATGATCTTTGAACGGAGCCCACACTGAACCTAATGCCATCATTATTTTTGACATTCGGATTTGTGATGATTCAACCATTATTGCCCCCTGCATGATTTAATCGCAATTTGGTTACAGGAAGTCTTTGCAGATCATTCTATCTGACGCTATATACTTTATCCCCTTTTTGATCAAGTTCCCTTGAAGTGGCAATTTACACTTTTAGAGACAGTGATTGGCATTTAACTGAAATCCTTTCACTTTGTGAATTTGGACTCGTCTTTTTTTATGCCAATGGGTAATTTCGTTTTATCGTTATAGCTGTCAATGCGCTTATGACAGCCTTTTTTATACTATTTATAAAACCAGTGCCTCCATTTGGTTTGACTGTCGTGTTTTTTTCAACCTCGATCATATCAACTATCACGTCAACAACACCTCTATTTGCAATTGTTATCGAAGAGCAATAAAATCATCATTTATCATCGCCTGCCCGGTGTTATTAGAGTTACGCCCATCAGATAACGGTTGCAGTAGCGATTACTCAATTTAACGCACTTCAGTTGCATATATAGTTACTTCACTTCTTCTGAAAGTCGTGCGATAATTTTATTTGAGCGAGCTGGACGCTCGAATTGTGTCTAAAGGTATTTTGTGTTATTGGAATGCAACAGAAATCGAAGGAAATAGGTCTGTGGTAGCTCTCATATGATTGTGTCTCTTTGTTGTCCGTCTGAAATCGGTTTCCTCACATAAGTGGCAGACTTTTAGCCCTTATTTAACTAACGTGAAGTCTTTAAGTAATTCAAAGTGTAATTAAAATAGCATGCCGACATGCATTCTTCGTCTATAGATGCACTCTCTTTTTGCAAGGCTTAACTCTCAACCGATTATTTTACCTGTATCAATACCTTCTGGTATTCACTCGCTAATTAACTGAATTAGTGAATTTATCAGGAGCAAAAGGCCTTCGATTTCAAAATCGTATTGATGATTCAACAATATTTTCCTACAGTTCCACTCACTTCTCGTTGTTTTGTGCTAAATGTTTATATCAAATGGCAGGCGTTTTGATGGTTATCATTAGTCCTATAGTTGACTTCAGGCTTCACAGAGGGAGGAACATCAAAGTGGAAATGTCGAGAGGGCGGGGGGGGGGGGGGGGGGGGGGGGGGCAGAAGAGTGCTTCAAAGACGAAGGTAGACAAGGTGGAAAAGGGTGAGGTGAGTACTGTGTAAGTATTCAAACATGACATACAGTGGGGTCATGGTAGTTTAAAGTGAGAAGTCAACTGCCGGTTAATAGACTTTTTCACCGTGTGAGTATACGTTGCCCAGGGTACACCACGTGGAGGTAAGTCTATCGTACACCCCTTGTGCTTAATGTTTAAGCGAATTAACGCCATTTTTTCACTTTACTTCATTAGTTTTACTCTCCATTAGTCCTATTTGGGTTCAGGATCAAATTTAAATCCGTAAATTTACTTATACCACTTATGAATATACTGTCTTTCAGTTGATAGATATTGCAAGGGGGTGATGGTAGTTTTATTTTTGGAAGTATCGAAAGAAATTTCATCCTGCTTGAATGAATAAAGTCTAATATTGCTTTTATCTGCACTCAGTAGTATATTCTAACACCGGCGCATCTATTCGTTCAATTGGGGTAATAAAAACACGATTACCGGCTGATTAGTTTTGGTGTTTGGTATTTACATAGATCTTTTTTTAAGCTAGTTGTATTTTCTTCTTTTAAATTAATTTTTAATATTATTTTTACACTGTTATTTGATCAATGTTCCAAATAGAAGCGGAGGCAATTTTGTTTGGAGGCAAAATTATGATAATTTTAGCAGCTTGACTGGGATTTCAAACGGTTATAAATCTTCGAAATATTTTTTATAGATATTGCTGACTTATACTAATACTTTATTTGGGATAGTTTTCTTCAAATCTTGACAAAAACATGTTTTGTAGCCTTCCCTGAATGGTGGCCAACAAATAGCAATGTCTATGAAGAAGTCCACGCAACCACTGCCAGAACGTCAATCTTCTCTTTCTGAAAGTGACTCAGCAATTGTTCGTACCGCGACGACAGCATCCACCAGTAACAGTTCAACCAGTCTCCAAGGTGGTAACAACGGGGGTTGTGAGAGCACCTGCATTGATTCGGACTCCGATGTCGACGGAGCTGAAGGGGGAAGCAGTGACGTTGATGACGACGATGACAATTTGGACGAGGAGGGAGATGAGGATGAAGATTTTGACTCAGGGAGTAGCAGTCATGAGGTGAGTCCAGGCATTAATTCAATAAAAAGGCGTGGTGATAAGCAATTGTCACCTTTTGCTAACTGACCTGTAAACGTAGGTCCTAGGACGAGTTAAGTCTCTTAACTGCTTCGATTCACCCGAAAGTAGAAGCTAGCAGAGGGGTTAAATACGTGTGCGCTGTAAATGCAAACACTGGGCTGTAGTTTCAGAAGTTAATTTAAAATGACCTAGATTGAGGATAGCTAATGAGTGCGGTATACCGGACAGACCTAATTTTAGCGGTGAGTGGGTGTTAGTTCATTGGGGGACGGTCGTTACATTTTGTCGACTAGCCTACACTGCATCAATGTAATTATATATTTATATTTAATTAATTTTATCTGCCTTTAATAAAGCATTATCTTTTTCGCTTTGTGTCTAGTCACTTCGAGATAGTTTCTGGGATGCATTGTTAAAGGAGCCAAAATTGCGGACGCCGGCTGATATAGAGGTGCTGGTAGAAAATGTCCAGAAGTTACCTGTAAGTCATTCGCTTCTCTTGATAATGTTTATTGACCTTTGTTTTTTGTTTTGCTTATCGTATTGAACTACTGTGTTGTTTTGGTGAGCATTTGCTTTGAAGTACACCTAACACTGGCTTCCACGAATTGGTGAACTTACAGCTATATTAGGGAACTTATGCACTATCTTACTGTCGTCTCTTCCAATATTAAAATATTCAGAACCATGTTATTTCCTTTACAATCACTTTAATAAATTTATTATTCAATTGATATATTTTTAATTTTTGTTAATTGTAGTGCTAAATTCGTGATGAATTGTATCCTAAACTTAGTAGGTTATGCTTGATTTTATTTATCTCTAATTTCGCTCACCAAGTGCCATTTCAGCAGGGAGCGTTCAAAGTTGTTAATTTTTCATATCCTTTTGAATTATCAAGTCACCTCTCGTTGTGTTTATGGGTAACTTAAAATTAAGAGCGCATCATTAAAGATTAGCATCAACACTCTCTGATGTCCTTTGAGGGCTGTTAAATTTAATGATGAAGTGGATCTATTCGCTATCGAGCCCTTGTGAATCGAGTGGATTAAGGCGAAATAAAAGGGTCATTTTCAGATCAGCTCAAATTACAATGAAAATTCTTAGCAAATGAGGGCGCTTTCAAGTTTTAACTCTCGGGTAGGTGGTGACAAAAAAGAAAAAGCGAAACTGTTCATTACGTTAAGAAAGTAGAGAGGATTCAAATTGAGCAAAGAGGTAATAAAGTTGTGACACACTGTAATTAAATTCTGGGCTGCTTTGAGTTGCTCCATTTCTCATGGCACTTCGTTTTTACTGCTTAGTGCTCAGCACACTTCTCCTGAATGAGTTCACGCCGGACATATTCAAAGTTTGCTGATAGGTTGATTTGCTTGCCTGTTTGAGCATACTAATTCTATTGTGCGTATGTGTTTTTTTTGTCTATTAAAAATCGTTATAGCCTCTCCTAGAGTTTGAGGCTCAAATTGAACTAGGTAATTGAATAATCGTGAACTCTTTGTTTTAATTGACTGTCGACTCCCCATTTTAGGTAGGGTTTTCATTGAAAATTCATTGACTCTCATGCCTACATTGTTCACTTGTTTGGTACTATGAGATGGTATTTTCTATAGCAGCGTGACCTCCTAAGACTCGTCTACAAAGTTATAATCTTGTTTCAGTAAACGGGTTGCCTAATGCAAACCTTACAGCGATTTAAAGTGAGATAATTAAGCATCCTCTATAATAGTCGGTGTTCATTTTAGTATAACAGGACATATCTAACAAAACTTCTCGTAGTTCGAATACTTTTTTTCTCAAGAAGACAGTAATTTTATTTTTAAGTGGAATGACTTTTTTTAATTTTATCACGAACTTCATATCTATGAAGCAAGAATCATTTGAGCTTGTGAATTAATTTTGATTTGTTGTTTACATTGAAGCTTATATTGACACGATCAACCAATGGAACAATGAGCTTCTATAGGTTAATAATTTTGATTAGACTGAGACCTTAAAACTTTTTTCTCGGGAAAAAGAATAATTGATTTCTAGTTAATGCCTGTCGGTAGGACTTGAAAGCCTTTTTTAAAGACGTACGTCCAAGGTTATCTTTTTATTTCAGTTCTCTGGTGCGATTGGGTTTTAGAAAATTTAGATTCAAATATTCTATTTATTTATTTAAATAGTTCGTCACCTTTCCTTGAACATTTTATTTATTTTCGCCTGCAGGCCTTTTCAAACCTCTCGGAGGGCACGCGAGCAGCTCTATGTCGCCTTATGTTGGTTGCAGTGGTTCGAGAAGCCGGTCAAGTTGTCCTTTCTGACAACGAAATTCTCGACACTTGGTCTGTCATTCTCAACGGCACGGTGGAGGTAAATTCATTTCCCTGAAAATATAAGTCTTATTAGGAAAACAATACAATTAGTCAATATTTGTGTGTGACTCTTGGCCTAGTTAGACTTTAAAATGAAGTAATTTCTCTAGAGGCGCCCCATTGGTTCTTTGAATAATTACTTTATTAGTTATTTTTAAATGTATATAGTAAGGTTCTTTCGCATATTTTTGTCCTTCTGGAGTCGAGTTTTTCATTGGGCTATATATGTTATGCATAAAAGGATAGTTTTATACGACTTGATTGACCAAAATTCTTTCCTCCCTCCCTTCCTGTGCCCACGTATGGGTCTTCTATGGGTGAAATTTGACTCTTGGCCGTGTATTCCCTGCATGATGTTTGTAATTATATCTCCATAGGCGTAAATTGAAAATTGCCATTATGCAATCTAATCACAATGCATTCTTTGCTTCTTCTTTGGATTTTTGTGAGCCTAAGAACTGCTCTTAGTTTTGAAAACTTGGCATAGCTGGGCTTCGATTTCCCTAAACGCAATTACTCCTAATATATTTGCTGAGTAATTCTTAGTCTGTTGTCCAAATTTCCCACCAATCAGATGCTTCGTCGTATACCTATTATTTCCCATTTGCACTTTCCTTGTTTGCTACAATGCGCCATATTCTCCAAAATCGATCTTCTTACCAATCGTTGTCAATTAATATTTTCTTAATTTAATTTCCATCTAAGCATTTTAGTCATTATTCCCTTTCCATTGTTTCGTTCTCCATATTTAATTAAATTGAGGCAGATTGCAAATGCTCTTTCTGCGCAAAAATAAATTAAATAAAGTGACGGAAGGAAGGTGGTTTTTCATCATTTAAATTCAAAATGTGCTAAATGTCTGTGAAAATTTCATATTTACCTTTCGATGCGAACATATGGCCAGATTCGCAATTCGAAACTCATTTGAGAAGATACGCTAATGATTGTCGGCATATTGCTTACTAACCAATATTCCTGGTCATTAGCTTAGAATTCACCCACTGAAGGAATGTGGTAAAAAATTAAGATGTACCATTTCACATATTTACAAACTCCCCATACCAGGAAATAGACACGGTTTTAAAGCATTAAGATTTATTTATTTATATCAAATTACAGGCGTTTTGGTAGTTATTATTAGCCCTTTAGTTGACTTCAGGCTTCACATAGGGATGGGAAATCAAAGTGAAAAGTCGAGTTGGTTGGGGAACAGTAGAGTGTTTCAAAGATGTGAAAGAGACAGACACGAGGTTGAGAAAATGGTAAGGTGAGTACTGTGAAAGTGGTCAAATAAGGCATACAGTTGGGTCATGGTAGTTTGAAGTGAGGATTCAACTGCCGGTTAATAGATTTCTTGTGTCGTATGAGTGTACGTTGCCAAGGGTGCACCACGTGGAGGTAAGTCTATCACACACCCCAAAGTATCAACATTGGATGGAAAAAATACGATCGATTATTAGTCGAGAGATTAAGCTCCTTGAATTCTGCAAAACCATGCCAAGGTGTAAATTTTACACAATGCTTGAAAAGCGATGATCAACATAACCCATGCCTAACGGATTACGCACGCAACGAAGTAAACATTGATACTGAACCGAAAATCGAAATTGAATACTAGTCATGCTTTACTGTAGGCTTCAAATCACTTCACTAAAACATAACTTTCCGAAACAAAGTACTTTTAATCCTTATTTTGTTTGTTTTGTTCGCACTTTGCTGTGGCCCATTTGTATTTCCCATTATTGGACTAAAAGTCTAACTCTCAAAAATCTTTAACAAACAATATCTCTTTAAGCTAACGCTGTACTTTAAGTATTGCGCGTGATGGGTATCTCGTCTTAGTTAAACTAAGAATTCAGAATTCGATAAAGTGCATTCCTGCAAATTAGATTACAAATGAACTAAAAGCCTTTTGACAATTACATCAATCTTTCCTTGTTTTATTTTTCCCCTCTAACATTATTTTCTAAATTGGCTGATTAGTCTCCCCATTAACCAGCCATACTCCTATTGAAAGGGCATTTATTAGAAATTTCATTAAAAATTATGATATTTTAACGCAGCTGGTTCTGTTTATTCTACGAATTTTTCTCCCCTCCCTCCTCTCAGTTGAAACTCGGGTTGTATTGGTTCATGCAGTCATACCCCGAGTCACTTAGGGATAAGATTAGCCCATTTTAATCCTTTTAAAAGAATACGTAATCGAAGCTTAATCATTTTTTTTAAGTGATCTAATCCCATTGTATGTCCTTTCTGTGGGTTTTTTCTCAAGCTTTAGGGTTGGTTAGGAGTAATTTTTTGAGTAATGTGGACATCTAAACAATCTCTTTTCTATCTTCTGACTTCAGTGAAGATAGGTGGAATATGGAGAATGTTCTGTGGATGATGTTTTCCCGGTTTTACTGGTGACCTAAAAAGTGTATGCGGGTATCTGGGATATCTTCGATTTGGGCGTCACTTAATTGATGCAGTTTGAATTTTAATTGGTTTTGGTGGAGGTTACTTCGTTACCAATTGATCTGTTTGTGCTTATATTTGCCTTTGTCGTCATAGTTGAGAAGTGGTCATACTGTCACCTTTAGTATTAATTGATAAACTCTAAAACCACCTAACTGCGATGTCTCAGACTTCCGCTTTCAGTCGAATCCTGTAGTTGTAAGTCTTTAGAAATCATAAGAGTGAACAGACTATGCAAATTGGTGTACATTAATCACGCGGCCAGTAATGTCGGTATATATTGACGACAAATGTCTCTCCCTCTCCCTCTCTCTCTCTCAATATGATTATCTAGAGATACGTGAGAGTGTACGTTTAAATTTGTGGGTCGGTGATTATTTAGTCGAATAGTAAATGAAATTAATCATTTTTCAGGTCATCGATCCAGATGGCACCATTCGTGAGTTGAGCAGTGGTGACTCTTTCGGTGTTCGACTGCCACCACCTGGAAGTCCTCCTTCAGCAGCTACTCTTGTCCAGAAGCATCGTGGACAAATGCGTACCGTGACAGAGGATTGTCAGTTTGTTTGCGTGGCGCAAACTGATTACTTCCGGGTTATGGCAAGAGCTGCTGATGCTGAAGTTCCTGAAACTGAAGAAGGCGATTCAGGACGTGTTGTTCTAGTCTACGAAGACATTAGGAAAGAGGCGGGTCAGAGTTCAGATGGAGGTACGACATCACCACTTCCTTCTTCTCTTCCTTCAACACAAATTTCGCGGGTGGTTATTAAGGTGGGTTTATACGACTTTTTTCGATGGACTTATCCAGGTTTTCACTATTTTTCTACTACAATCACTTATCTGCTAATCAATCTTATAGGGAACACCAGATAAGCTGATTGAGCATTTAAAGTCTCCTGAACCGAGTGATCAAAGTTATGCTGAAGATCTCCTTCTTACTTACCGTACCTTCCTTCCAACCCCTGCTCTCCTTGTCCGCCGGTTGCTTTCCTGGTGGGATGAGGCTCTTCCTGGAACTCCCACAGACCAACGTCTTATTCGAGCTCGTATTCAACGCTATGTGGTGCTCTGGGTTCACAATCATCCTGGTGACTTTCATGACCGACCCGCTATGCTCCGATTCCTTGAAACATTCAGCGATCTTCTTCAAAGAGATAATGGAAACCGTCGACTGCTTCATTTGGCACTTTCCACTCGGGCTCGACCTCGAACCGTCCCTGTGAATCTAACCCTCGTAGTGACTCCTACAAGTACTAGTACGACGTGTCATATTGTGCTCCCCTGTGTCTTAGTCGGAGGTCAAGGTGAATTTGGAGTTTTCGTGAATCAGGCAGAGGAGATTGATTACGGTCCAACTGGTGGTTATGAAATTCGTGCAGGTTTGAGGAGAGGTGATCAGCTGTTGGTACTGCAAAATAGAGGTGTGGAAGGGGCTTCTTTAGCGCAACTGGCTTCTACGATTGCTTCATTGGTGTTGATGTCAAATCGCCAACCTCCGGGTAGTACAGTAACGAAGACTCTAGCATTCACGATCCTCTATAATCCATCACGTATGTTCGATTTCCTTTTTTATTATAAACAACGCTCATGAAATCTATGTTGAATAAGTCTATCTAGTTATTTCACAAACCGCCTTGCTTTATTGAAGCTTCATAAGACACTGACCAGTTAAAGACCAAATTTTATCGACTTCTCGTGGTATTATGTTAATTTCCCTTTTAGGAGTAGCTAGGTTGAATGAGCTTGACTGTCTTCTTGTCAGACTCTTAAGATCGTCTTAGAAATTTTAACTGGGATTAAGCCTCGGTCTAGCTATTATGGTGACAGGGAAGCTATTAAGGGGAACTAGGGCCAAGGTCGTCTTGGTTGGAGCTCATATTTCCATGCTCTGTTTTAATTTTCTGTGTGACCCTGTTATTAACATTGGGCTTATTTTCAAGCATTAGAAAAACTCTGTTTATTCCTTATTGTTATTGGGATGCGAGTGGATTAACATGGTGGAAATCTTCTAAATCTGAAACAGTTAGATCTTCTCCATTTAATGATTGTTCAACACTAGAAGAACTTAGCTACTACATGGTTGACTATAGTCGAAACCTCCGAACGGTTTCCGAAAGCATTGTAGGACAAAAACTTAAATGAGTTACTGTGAAAATTCTCGTCCAGTGCTTATTTAATTCTTGTTTAATTACGGAAGCTAAGTCCGGCCACTTTACTTCGTTATTTCGGCTTCCTAAATTGAATAAGGAAATAATTTTACGTGCTATTTATAATCTGACCTGACCTTTGCATAACAGAGACGAGTCGAGCAAAACTTGAGCTTATTTTCATTCAACGCACTCATTCAGTTCTAAGGCATAATTTCGGCATGTTGAAGTTGAGAGATTGACAGAACTTGTGCATTCAATAGATGTCTGTGTGCTTGAGTTAGAAGATTGAACGTTCGATATTTATAAAGTGGACAGATTGGAAAATGAAAACACAACATTGATGACATGACCGCTATTTGCTGTGCTACTGACTGATGACAGCTTTAGGCATCCTGCCAATTGATGACTTGATGCCTTCTAATCTTGCCCTACCTCTCGTTTGTCTGCCAAAGTTCTTTCTTTAATTTTTAATTAGATTTATATTAAAACTTTCTGTTCCCTAGTTTTTCCAGGTTAAAATGCTTGCACTATTCCATCTTTCTCTTTGATTTAGATTTGTTTCTGCAAATGCATTCGAATTTCATCAAGTTTGAAGTAAACCTTGTTAATGCACCATATTTTGATACCAATAGCAATTATTTTGATAGGTTCGATATGCATCCTTTGATTTACTCGCTGTAAGCATGAGTTCTATTTGTATGTTTATAATATAAGTATCCTAGCCGTAACCTCCTCCTGTTTTCTACCTTTTTGGGTGAGGTTAAGATCGTAGAAAGTATATGGTCGATAATTTTTTCATCATTCAATGGTGCCTTCGCTTCACCAATAGGATCATAAGTAGATTAAGTAATCCGAGGTCTAGCTTAGTATCCCATCAATTCCGTCAGTTTGACCCTCCAACTACTCCTCTCGAGTACTCTGCTTCCTCCTTTATTAACCGATTTTCTGTCATATTTGTTTTAAAAGGGGGAGTCATTCACTTAAAAAACTTCAAATCAAATTAGACCTTTCAGTATTTCGTAGTAAATTATGGTTTTAAAAAATCTCTTTCAACGCCGTTTTTATCCCTCCCAAAACCGATCTTGCTCTACAGTTGTCAGTTTGTGAGTGAAAGAAGGCTGTTGGGACTTTTTCTCTCTAACGAGGACATTTCATTTTCCTTTTCCACCGACTCATTCTTTGACTGTTTATTGAAACGTTTATAAGTTCCCTTTCGTGGGTTTTGCCTTGCACTCCACTGCATGCTTAACATTTCTATTTGAGCATTAGAAATGTATTTTTAATGTGAGGTAAGTTGAGATTGCTTTAATTGGCTAAAAAATTTAATCACTTGAGCAAAATTTTGGCCCATTTTTTCCAAGCACATAGTTTACGTTTTAAGTCCAAGGCTTTCTTATGAATTTCATGCGATTCATAAAATTAGGTCATCTGGAGTCTGCATCCGTACTCGAGTAACTTACTTTAACTAAATTATTCAGGCCTTCAGTGGCCACAGTTTCAGATTGGTCTGCTTACCTACTAGAGGGCATTAGCTTTGGGGGGGGGGGGTTAATTTCAATTTCCAAGTCATCTGAATAAAAAATATAAAATTACGCTGGAGGGGAAAAATTCTGTGGCTCAAATTTAATTTTTATTTATTATGAATTAATTAATCAATTAATTTAAATGGAAATATTGATGATGATGATGCAGTGGACTGATTAAATGCATCGCCTACACTTTGCATCGATGTTATGTGATAAATAACTTTTGTTATTGCCGTTTTTATGCGAAGAGAAGAGGGAAACACTGGAGCCTTTCTATATGCGGAAAAAAAAATTTTTTTGGGAGTCCGTCACTACCCACAGATTAGTTGCTTCAATGCATTTTGTTTGTTTATTATTTTGATATAGTTCATTAGGACCTTCGTCCTGGTCTTATCTAATCTGCGAAACAAAAATGCTAGGTTTTCTCGCCTTAAGGGCGTTAATACCTAAATTAGGCGGCTGCAAATATGCGCCCGCAGTAAAAAAAGGCGCCTAAAGCAAAAAAGGCGGTAATTATGAAGGAAGCAAAGTTGGTGCCTTGACGTACTTCCTGTTCACACTACCGTATCGTGTTTTCTCTTGCAATATTCATCTGCGTCTACCACCGCAGTAAATCTGTGTGCAATTGCAGTTTTCATGTTGTTTTCTGCCGGATGACTCAGTCGTGTAGTGCTCCTTCAATACAATTACTCGAGTGTTGATGACGGCCATATCGTCTTCTGCAAGGAAAGCAAGTTATTTTTCCGGCGTTCCTTTGTGGTGACTCTTCTTATGGTCTGTTTAGTCAGCACCATTGGCTCTTACATTACTCGAACATTACTAGTTGAATAAATGCTGACAATGATAAATTCACTAAAACATTTAACCAAAGTGTAGATAAAAATAACGTGCCTGAGAACGCCAAGAGCATTGTGTCGACAGAGCTTGAATTTGTCACTGGAGATGTGCCCAATCTAGTCTGTTGGAAGAAGATATTTGGCGGATATTGTGTTCCGCCACTGTACCATTGACTTTTTCTTCGTAATGCACTTACGCGAGATATAAGGAGTTGGAAGGCCAAAGTGCAGGACATTCATTAGTTCGACGCAAATTTTCTCTAGCTCCTACTATTCTAAGGAATTGTAGAACAATTGCACTGAATTCGATTTTCAGGAATTTATTTTTTTTCTCCCCAATTTAAATATTTTGCCTTAGGGCGGAGGGGGGGGATGCATTTTTGTTCAGTGCTCGATTCGTTGATTGAGGCGGTCTTTCCAAATGTTGGAGGGGGCAGATTATTTTTTGATACCATACAAACGCATTCCTTCAATCCTATTACCTTTGATCATATTGTTTATTGAATGCGCGTGTGTCAACTCTGGCTTTGCAAACACTTTCATTGACTGCAGTAAACAGAAATAGCACTATTTATATTGCTTCACGAATTGGCATACGCACTACCCATTAAAGCGTCTTAGGATTACCTCGTAAATAGTCATCATTTTTCATCCTTTGATCCAAAAAAACAGACATGTTGGATCATATTGGAATTGAAAAAGGAATTGGAAACGAGGTTGGTTGCAGAGTTGTGTTCATACATGTACCAATTGTATATCCATTGTTGCGTCCTTATTATTTCAAACTCTCCCCAAAATTTCAATCCCATTCCTTTCTTCATAATCTATATTTAAATCAAATGGTAGGCGTTTTGATAGTTATCATTAGCCCTGGAGCTGACTTTGGGGCTTTACAGAGATTAGAAGGAACATCAAAGTGACGAAAAGTCGAGATGGGAGACAGAATAATGATTCACAGAGGTAAAATAGACAGACAGACAGACACAAAGGCATTAAAAAGGTAAGATGAGTACTGTAGAAGGGGTCGAATATGACAAACAGCGGGGTGATGGTAGTTTGAAGTCAGAGGTCAACTGCCGATCAATAGACCTTTTTGCCGTATAAGTATACGTTGCCCGTGGTGCACCACGTGGAGGTAAGTCCATTGCGCACCCCTTTTTCATAATCTCAATGCCCTTTGTTTTCATCACAAAGCAATTAAATGTTAATCTCCTGTTATTATAGTTGGGTTTGTTGAGTGCTTATTCTGCTTAGATGCAAAGCCAAAAAATTCCATCGTCGAGGGTAATGTGAATGTGGATTTGGCTTTTTATGAGAAATGTATCCCACAGCTTTCGGCAAACTGCTTTTATCTTCCTATTTCTCCTTTCCCTTCATTTACGGGTCTTTTATTCATAGCAACCTCCTTTCCGTTTTAATTTAATTTTAAAGCATTCTAATTCTTTTAACTGTTTGGTTTACGCGTGGTATCTCGAATTCCAAATCAGGAATTTCTCTAATTCATTCATTTTATGCAGCGGAAATGTCGTGCTTATTGTTTCTCTTGAATTAGGGGCTTGAGTAATTTCCCCATGTAACTTGGTTTCGAATGGGTCCTAGTTTTATATTCAATGATAAGAAGCAACTCCTTCAATTACTGTGTTGGAGACAAATTTCACCGTATTTAAGTGAGCACTTTATCAGCCGAATTAATTTCACAGCTGTTTCACCTCACTACCGTTCTCTTTTGTCTTCCATTTTGTTAATGAAGTAGCGGTTAAAGAATTATAATGGAAATCGATTCTGAGGTCATATTTACTACTGCAACTATATCGAACAAATGCGAAATATGCTAATGGAAATATTTTTAAATCTGTAACCTCATTTACCAAGTAGTACTAATGGCCCTCATTTCCCATTTTCGTCCAAATTGAAAACCATAAAATGTTGGATGTGCCAACGGTAAGGAGACTCTGCTCTTAACTTCAAGAAATAAATAATCAAATCTTAATTTCCCGGCAGTAATTTGATAAATTTAGCCACACCACGTCAAATACGAACCGTTACTTATGCTCTCGTCAAATACAGTTATTTGCCAAATGTATTTGATCATAGGGTCCATTTAAACACAGTGGCGCTTGGACCTCAGTAAAATTGATGAATGGAACGAACGGTGAAATTTCAAGGTTTCGGCATTTCTCTAAAGCTTTTATTGCGTCTGGTATTTCTTGTAATACAGGCGTTTCGTATTTGAGAGCATTCCGTCCAATTAGAGCTTAGCCTTAGTGTTAATTGGATTAAAATGGACGATGGTATCAATTTTCAGTGGGTGCGTTTTGTTTTAGTTTTAAATTTCCCTGATCTCCTATTTGACAAACTATTCCGGAATTAGTCTACATCCGAAGCAAATTAAGTTTCATAAATTTGCCGTGCTTAATAAACGTTTCTTTGTTTGCGCTGTTTTTCACTCTTCTCCACCTTTTAAAAATAAGTCATTTTTTTCATCTTATAATTTTTCTCCCATCAATGGAATATACTCCCATCACATAAGACTATCATTCCTTTATTCACTATTTTTAGAATTCTACGAGCTAATGTCAAAAGTGGGGGAGTTGAATTCTCGTCTGACCTCAAAGAACCGCGCAACTGTGATCTCCACTCGTGGCAAGCAGGTCCACGCCTTCGAAGTGGCCTCCATTCAAGAAGCTCTGTAAGTTCAAGCACCCCACGTTTTTTGCATTCCCTAAGCCACTTTACTTCCCAACTTGTGCAGTTTCATCGCTATCTGAAGATATAAATAGTCCCCGGTGGGAACCAATCAGGCGTGAGCCAAATTGAACATGTGTGGTGATGGTTAAGGAAATGGAACTTTTTCTATTTCCTCTCCTCTTTTCCTCCCTCTCTTTGACAGCATTGTGATTCGTTTCTTTCTGTCGAACTGAAAGTGATAAGGTGTAATCACAATGAATCAGCTTTACGGCGTCTGTGTTTTTCCAATCCCAAGAATAATGTACCTGTTTTGGCCAAAATCACGCATGCATAGATAAAGCTGATTTTTGTGAAACATTCCTACGATTGTAGCAATGTAATTTCATGATTACTTTGTTTCATGACCAATCGAGTTGAGTTAGGTGCATGAAGTCTGACAAACCCCACTGCCACTTTCCCATTTCGAGATGTTTCTGCTTTGAATTCATATCACTACATCAGCTAATTAAATGGTTAGACTTATTCGAATGAATCCTTGGGGCTAACTTATAGCTACTGAAATTGAAATCTGATATGATTTACTTCATCTGCTAAAAATGGATATATCGCTTTAATGCATACATTGAACTGCAGTTAAACCTCTGTTTGAAATAAGAATTGAGAAGATATATCAGTATAGAAGGCGTCTACAGTAGCTACAGTTTCCAAGGGTCAGTAGAACAATGCTCAAAACTACTATCGACCACCACTCTAGTTCTAAAATCGTTAAATTTTTTACATCGCTTTCGAGTTGTTGAGTTTCAAGCAGCCTGTTTAGCAAGTTGCTCAAGTACTATTAGAAGAAACTCATTTTCCGAATTTATTCGCGACTGTGTTGTTGAAGAATTCCATTCCTCGAGGATCGAATTCAAAATATCAATTCTATTTGCAAGAGATTGTTAAAATTCGATTCACTTACATTTTGACTGTTTTTTATCCAAATTTCATAGAAATAGTTGGAGTCATATTGACCATGATCTTCAAATACGTTTCACTTTTAGTATGCTAGAGGCATTTGATTCTAAATCGCTGCTAGTATTCGCCTCTCTTAAGGCTTACTTGACTGTTGCATTCATTCGCCAGCTGGTGTAGAGGCTGAAGAAAAAATAAACGTGTAAAAATGGTAAAAAGGAAGCATTATTTGAAGCTATTCGCAACTTTTATACGTCTTGAGAGCGTTCCATCTGCACAGCTATGTATTGGTGATTTATTTTTTATTTTTCTTTCGTTAAATTAATTTCAACTCGGTCCTCTGATTCTAATAGAAACAGTAGCTAAGAGAGACGCTGTTGTTTTTTTTTAAATCTGATCCCAATTTAATTAATCTCTGCACTTGAATGCACTTTAAAAGGTCACACCATGCCCTCCAAAATATCCTTGCTCTAATTAGGACATTTTAATAAATTCCATGTGCATTTTCTCTCGTTCTGCTTCCACTTGACCCTTCATTTTCCAATTGGTTAATTTCCTTCATAGAAGTCTTATCAATTCGTCGAGTCGAGGTGCTATTGGAGCTCTTCCAACAAACAATGTCAATAAGTGGATGGACCAGCAGCAACAACAGGGCCATATCCAGCAGCTCCAACCTATTCCTGGAAAGCAGGTCCGTTTTCTTTTAATAATTATTGCGGAATGCAAGCATTTTACTCATTTATAAACTTTGAGTCATTATTATAGCTGTAGTATTTAGTGTAAGTCATGTTTCTTGAAAAAAATATGTTGTGCTTATGTTTCTTCTTGAAGTTCCTATTTTTAAATTATGCTCCGTTTTTGCGCTATTGTACCCTTGCTTTTTTCCGCAGTTCCCTGAAATCCTCTTCGCAACTTACCTGTTGATGGATGTGGGACTCCGTTAGCATTAATTTCACTCTTACTAATAATATGTATTTATTAATATCATGGCTTACTCCACTGTTGTTTATTGCCTTAATTTCGATAGCATATTATTTGTAGTAAATATGCACAGTTGACAATATGACGACTATCGGCTATTGAATGTTTCGTTTTGTCCATGGGTTCTATACAATTGAAATTTGATTGTTCTATGGTGAGTGGAATTTTGATGTAACGCTCAGGTAGGGATGTCCTGGAGGAATGCTATATTATTCCAAGAAATCAAGGGGTTTAAAAGCACCAAAGTGGATGATTGCATAGTTAAGAGAGTATTTACTTATATAAACTCTTATTACATTCTACCCATCTATGCATAAAGATTTTTATTACTTAAGCTTTGTAATCTTTGGATGCTTTTCAAAGCACATCACATACAACATTCTGTTGGGTTTGAGGATTCTTTAATGGTAGTTGCTAGGGACTGTAGATTAATGAGTCTATGTTGGACATTGATTTTCCAAGAATAGTATACATAAAGAAATGAAGTTTGTTTGACCTTCCTTCTGGCATCAGTTAATTCGTGGCGGAGCCTCCCTTCGATATTCTCCTGGCACACCCCAACTTCGACCATCCATTGCCACAAATAAACCCTCTATGATCTCAGCAGAAGCCCCTTCGCCTTCCTCAAATCCATCATCTTCAGAATTAACTCGTTCCTCATCTCAACCCGATTTAACAGGCGTTATAGGAGGTTCAAAGTCGGATCAGTCTAGAGGTTCCTTTTCTACCTCTGGTTGGAGCGACAGTTCAGGCAGTGGGGGAGGTAATTCTGGCATTTCTGTGATACGTGTTTGGCGATCTCTTGGTGGTGAACCGAAGGATCAGGTCAGCAAGTTAGTCGCTCTATATCCTCGAACTATTGCAAGAACGGCCGTCCGATTGGCTGCGCAGGAATTCAATATTGACCATCCTGAGGATGCGGCTTCGGAGTTCTGCCTTTGTTTGGTAGGTTTTTTCAAATTCGCTAAATGCTTTTGGTTAGATTCATACCAAACTTTCTTTTAACCATCCAGCTAACATGAATTTCTGTAATACTCTTGAAACCACTAATGCCACAACATTTGGCTACTTCTAAATGTTTATTTATATCAAATGGTGGGCGTTTTGATAGTTATAATTAGCCCTTTGTTAAACTTCGGGCTTCATAGAGAGGAGGTGACATCAAAGGGGAAAAAGTCGAAAGGGGGGGGGAACAGAAGAGTGTCTCAAAAATGTAAAAGAGACAGACACAAAGGTAGAAAAAAGGTGGGGTGAGTTCTGTGGAAATGATCGAATATGACATGGAGTCAGGTCATGGTAGCTTGAAGTCAGAAGTCAACAGCCGATTAATAGACCTTTTTGCCGCATGAGTATAAGTTGCCCAGGGTGCACCACGTGGATCGTGCACCCCACTTCTAAACGTTTAATGTTGGTTACTATTTGTTCTATCCGAAAAGCAATACCATGTGCAAATTGAGTGCTTCTTATTAATACAAACTCCGAAATGCATTTTACTTATCCCTTTAATTGAACGCAACATGAACCATATAACTTTTATATCTCCCTGCCCTACTGGATATTTTCTATTATATTTCCCGTTGAAAGTAATTTAATGCTTCATTGTGGCGCATAAAACGACCTATTTTTATGCCGGACCTACTTCGAAAACAGTTTTCTGTATTTATTGTTCTAAATTACTTTTTTTAGTTTTTTATGGTATAAGTCATTATCCTACTTTAAGGTGATGTTTAGGTATCGGACAAACAGGTACATGCAGTAGTTAACTATTAGTTCTAGACGCCTACATTCGGTTGCAATTTGTCCCGCTGTTAATTAAATCAGTGGCAACATTGCTTCTAATACTCATGAGAACCAAGACGATATTGATAATGGATGGTAGAAGTGATCGAAGATCAAGGATAAGATCACTTCACCTTTTATTGGCAAAGAAGGTAATTGTATGCATTGAAGTTGATCGGCTTTTGGTTTGGAGTATGAAAACGTAAAGCAATACCTTCATTTCAACTAGTAATGGAGGGGGGGGGGGGGTCAACTACATTTTATGTCGGCCACTTGCTCTAGACTGCGCCTTGTTACGTCTTGTCAAACGTGATCCCAATTAACTGGGTGGAAAGATTTGGCAAGACCGGATGAGTATATGCGGGAAGTGTAGTCAATTTTCATGGCCGAACTTTGTATTGAATAAGTCTACAGCAGCATCAATATGCTTGCAAATTTTGAATTTGTGTTTTATTGATGAAATTTTGGGAGTCTTATATTTTCTTAGATACCAGATTCAAGGTTATAATTATTTTCGATTGTCCTAAAATTAATTTGTGTTTTTTTTAATAATTTCCATTCATTTTCCTTATTTAACAATCAGTCTAATTTCACTGTCAGTATTTCTAATCCGAAAATTAAGCAACTTTTAAAATCTGGCTGAATTTGGCAAGCGTGGATTAGGTAACTTTTCCCACTTCCGGCAAACGCGGGTTGTAATGGCCCAGTGGTGTGGAATAACGATCGAATAAGGGAAGAAGGAGAAAGGGGTAGAGCGAGAGTGGTAGAAAGAGGAGAGCTGGGTTATTCGTCTAAATGATTTCTCGGTCTTCGTGAATTGATACTTAGGGCGCCGAAATGATTCAGTGGGAGCTTAATATGGCGAGATCGAGCGGGACTGTGAACAGCGTCTTCAACCACTTCACATCCTTTTCTCATGTTTTCGCATATTTTTATTTTTCTCTTTTATCCGTTTTCTTTCATTTTTTGTTAATTTGTTATTCCTATCTTCTTTTGTTTCTTTTTGTGTTAGCAGTCTTCCCTATCCAATTGACTCCATAACTTAGTTGGCATCATTACAGAATTCCAAGGAAAAATTATTTTATTAATCATTTTCAAAATGATGGATCTATTCTTTTTCTTCCCCTGTCTAGGCATTTCCGGAGTATATATTAATTTCATTTTCTGTCAAGAAATAAATTTGTAAATACACAAAAAATTAATATTTTTCTTTTCAAGGTCACTGTGGACGAAGGTCCAATTATGAAGCAAAGTCGAATAGCCGATAGCATGGATGATCTAGCCAATCGAATTGCGTTAAACTCTCGGTATTACCTCAAACAAAATCGAGTACATGATGTTCTTATTACTGACGAGGTAGCCAAGGTCATTTATAATGAGAGCAAGGTCTCTCTAACTCAGGTGGGTTAGCATTTCTTTTTCTCTTTTATGACCTTGAATAATGGGTTTGGAAATTTACTTGTCTTTTGCTTCAGCTTTCTCCTGAAGAAGTAGCTATTCAACTGACACTAGACGATTTCTCCGTCTTTCGTTCTATTGAATCGGCAGAATTTGTAGATAAAGTCTTCGGTTTGACTTCTTCAACTCAAGATAATCCTGATGTTGGCAGTAATGCGACAGCTACCAACAGTAGTACTGAAAATATTGCAGGGGAACCTTCCATTGAAACAAGGAAGGGATTCCCTACAGGATGTGCAAATCTTGACGCATTCGCAGATTTGGTGAATAAGGAAGCGTATTGGGTTCCCTCTGAGATTTGTGCGGAGACTAATCTGCAGAAGCGAGTCGACATGCTTAAGCGATTTATCAAGGTAAGATAATTATGCCTACTAATTAAATAACAACTCGTTTTATTTAATTAATTCAATGATGGACATCAAAAATCCTAAATTCGGTAATTATTGAAGCAGAAGTGATGGATTTATAAATTGGCGCAATTTCTTAACGGTTTTAATGGCGCTAGAAAAATTGATTTGAGAAGGGATATGGGATTTGTTATTCACAATTGAAATTCTACTGAGACATGCCAGGTTCATCAATTTTGAACACATAAACATACGAAATGTGTCACTAAATCTCAAAGCAGGCTAATTGAAAATTGGCACTATTTCGTTTCTCGAGTTCGTTTAATCTTTCTTGTTGCGATCTGTGTATTCTACTCAGTGTCAGAATTCAAACTGTTTTGCTAAGTTTATTTATCCTAATTGTTATCTTTTGTTAACTTTACAAGTTTTCCTTCTTTGTCTCAACATTTTGAGGTTTTATTACAGGGAATCTAAGTGATAGTGTCGAGTCGCCTAATAGTTCATTAATTATGCTAATCAGCGTTCGGTTGTAAGAATCATTGTTGTACTGTTACTTATAAGGTGTTGAATGAGTAATACGTCTTCATTGCACCGGGTTTAGTCATACCGTGATGACTTTGTATTTGGTGTTGCGTAACTGTCAGAGGACTTTTCAACTACTCCTGATTTTCATGTCGTAGCATTTTCTAATTCACATGCTTTATGCCTGATTTTGCTTTAAATTCTACAACTGTTTATTTTCAACTAATTTCTTACGTTAAGTGGACGAACTTCACTTAACTATACAGTAGTAATTTCGATTAAATATTACAGTGGTTGTTGAAATTTTACTTGATGGATTTTGATTTTGCCAACTCTATACCTGCTTTGTAGATTGCCAAACTATGTAAAGATCTCCGCAATTTCAACACTATGTTCTGTATTCTTGTGGGTTTACATATGTCACCCGTTGAACGTCTTCGACAAACCTGGGAGCGTCTGCCCAACAAATATGTCAAAATGAGCCGGGATTTGGCTGTAAGTTTTTTGCTCACGCTAGTCTAAATCTGGCCTATTAAATAAGAGGTTTAAGTTCATTTTTTTCGTGGTATAGCTCGTACTGGATCCTTCTCGTAACTTCGCACACTATCGAAATCTCCTCAATTCATCTCCTCAGTCTTCCCCCATGACGTCGCCTTCTCAAAGTGGTGCGCATTGTCTTCCCCTGGTACCCTATCTCCCTCTTGTACTGAAGGATCTCACTTTTATTCATCTGGGAAATCCCTCACGTACTCCGGCATCCAATACTTCGTCTCCCCAACTCATAAACTTTGCTAAACTGAGAATGTTCGCTAAAGAGGTGAACACCAATCCTTATTGTTTGTAATTTAATTGCTTGATTTTAAAATTGTCTTGATACATTTTAATTTTTTCTGCAGATTCGTTCGCTTCGACGAATGTGTGATATTGACTACGACCTCCCATTGGCCCAGCGTCTGCTTCAATCGAGTGGCAATTCCAACAAATTTGCCTTTCTGTTGCCTGGTGCAGGAAGTGGTGTTGGTGGTGGTAGCAATAGCTTCAGTTCAAATTCGATTGATATCTCATCCCCACAAATTCAAACCAATGCAATAGCTGCTTCTTCCAACTCTAATATCTCACTTAATTCCGGTTCTTCGATTACCTCAGACTCTCAAGGTCCATTGAAATTTTATTTCACACAAATATTCTGTCGTTTTATTATTATTATTATTATTATTATTATTATTATTATTAATAAACTGTTTGCTTTTATATTAGTATTATTATTAACGATAATAGTCATAGGTAATTTTCTCCATTTGTTTCGTATAGGATCTCATGGACAGGCCAAAAAGCCCTCAGATGGAGGAGTTGCCTCTTTGCTAAGTGGGGCTACGTCACTTCTCCTTTCCACAGCCACTGGAGTTGGTTCTTCACCCACTAGAAACACCGTGCTTCCTGGTAGCGGGGTTGGTATTGGTGTAAAAAAGGCCAAAGTGAAGTCTATTTACGCTGCATGGCAAATGCGCCTTCGCGTCCGAACTTATATGGCAAATCTTCGTGTTAATGAAGATCTTGAATGTCTTTCCCAGCTCTCTCATCGAGCAGAAAATGGTGGCGGGGGTAATGTTAGTGTATCCTCAACTAAGGAATCCACTCCCACCCCAGCTCCAGTGTCTACCACATCCCCACCACTTCCTACTTCACAGCCTACACCTCCACCCCTTCCAGAAAAATCGAACAAATCACAACTCCCTCCTACACCTCCTCAACTTTCAATTAATTCTTCTGTTATGTCGAACACAACAAATACAAGTACTATCTCTTCCCATCGATCAATTTTCGGTAACCAGTCCATCGAAGATGTGCGAAAAGCTATTGCACACCAAGAGAGAACATCCAGGCGTCGTATGAGAATGTGTGCTGTTCCCACGTATTCACAACATCAACAATACCATCCGTCCCATCCTCAAAATCAATACTACCATCAGGCATCATCTTCCTACTATCAGCACTATCTTTCTAACGGTACGCCAGGTTATGACCCAAGAATGGCTCAGCGGTTGGGTCGGTACCTTCCACCTGCTACTGCAAATGCATATCAATTATTTCAGCTTCATCAGCAGCAGCATCAACAGTATCGACAACAACAAACGTCTGCAATGGCTGCGGCTCAGTGGGTTGCTAGACAACAACAGCTTGCAAACCAACAGAGAAGCAAATTCCAATCTCCACCACATCTTCCTTCTCAAAATCAGCAATCCATGCCCCAGCAGAAGCAGTCTCCAGCGTATGACTACGCTTTGATAATGAAACAACAACAACAACAGATGAGAAATGCTGCCTCGGCAAACTTTGCCCGAAGGTCAAGTGAACCCCCACCTCGAGGGAACGTGAGTCTTCCTCAGGTCATCACCTCTCCATCCCTTGTACACAGAAGGCCTTCTCCTCAAGGGCCTCAGCCTGGAGGCCATATGCAACGACCTCCTCTCCCTTCTTACAACGAGGTAATTAAGATCATAAATGAATAATTGTTTATGAATTCATCTCTATTTTCCATTTACCATTGCAGGTGGTAGCAATGAAGCAACAGCAGGCCCATTTACTCCAAAATCCCCAGCTTCAACCTGTTCGTAATAAAGGTAGTTTTTTATTGCTTGCCTCTCGTTCTACTTACAAAAAATAAGTAGAATTGTGTTCTTGTGTTTTAGATGGTCGGCCCATGTTATAAAGGTGTTGATCGTCTCTTATTATCCATCCCCTTGTACATAGCGACTGAAAATGAATGAAATTCTAGACGCTCTTCCTTCACTTATATTCTATCCCATTCTACAACTCTCTAGTCGCATGAAAAACTGTGTAGTTGTTCTAACTCTGTCCACAGTGTAGTTCTGAGTTTTTTCTGTATTGAAAGAAAAGAGTATTTGTGACTATCAAATGACTTATTTTCTCATCTAAAGGGAAATAGAACATTATTCTTGGTCACATAATTAAAATGGAATAATTTTATGTTGGTTGCAAATTGGTACCTTGAGGAACTCTAGTAGGCAAACCAGTCAAGCTGTGGCCATAACCACCTGTTAGAACTCAGCAGTTTGACTGACTAAAAAGATGTTGGAAGAACACAGAAAAAAAGGTGGTTAATTGGGAGGGTGGAGCTCACAATGTTGGTGCCGTTTGACTAAAAATATCAATAAATAGCCAATGAACTTGCAAGCAAGCCGCACACATGGGGCTATTCGAAGTAAATAAATTTGTAGCTAATAGTTTGTTTACTTTCTTGTGAGGCATCGTAGCTAGTGTGTGCATTGACCTTGCAAGGCTTTGTTTTAATGTTGCCATTGGTAGGATTGAAGAGGGAGGGGTGAGGGGGTGTGAGGAAATGAAGACTTTTCTCAAACTATAATTAGCCGATTAAAATGGGATACCGAGAAAGGGAATATATAGATATCAGATTACTTCTTATCAGAAGATAATCGATAATTCATATGTCCAATTGATTTGCAAGAGACGCGAATAGTCCACTTATCTACTTCCTGAACAAAGTGCAAAACAAACTGATTAATCTGCTAGTGAAACCAAGCAGGTCCGAAAAATATTTCTGAGTAATAAATCTAAGCACCAACTATCCTGATGGCTAAATCAACTTCCAAAAATTACTTCTGAAAACAACAGAAGGGCTAGAGTTAAGGGCATACTGTGAGCACACGGTTCATTAAGGAGACTTGGGATGTGAATGAGATGACAATCAATACAGTTTAACAAAAATAAATCTGTCTTCAAAATATGAAGAACTTGCAATATGAGGATAAATAGTATTGCGCATTCTCTGACCCCCAAATGCACAAGAGAACGAGGTTTTTTAAGAGAGTAGCAGAGACCATGGGATAGAGAACGAATTAAACATGGATTTGCAAAGAGAATATATTTGAAGTTCATTAAGTCAGGAGCATCCAAAGTCGTTTGTGAGTCCTCGACAGTTGTGCACTTCGAGCACAGTAGCAGAACGGTTGAGGCTAAAGTGCATCCAAGAGGGAGGAAGGTGTTGGATATGACAGCAGAGTGTGTCGGAGACTATGTTTGGTTCTTCCTGCATGCACACAATTTGTCAACTTCTTTTAATTCATTTATAAACCTATCAAATCATCATCCATCAGATTTCCCCAAATAACCGTTAAACAGCCTTCGAAATCTATTGTGTTAGACAAACCTAGTTACCTGAAAATTCACTAAGATTTAATGAATCCATTAACCTCGATATACATGTCCGACCTCTTGATCATGAATATTTTGTTGCTTCGGCATTTCCAGCTGGAACGGATTTTTCAAATAATCCAAAGTTGGGTGAATAATTAAGGTTTCGAATTCTAAGAAATCCAAGTTCATGCTACAACCCATAAAACCTCTGCTAATAAATTGGTCTTTATCTCCAAGAACTGTTTAAGGAAAAATGAATCAGGCATCTATTCTTTTGGCTTCTTGATAAATTTGAATTTATACTTAAACCCCTCTCTGTCTATAGACAATTCCAAATGCCATCTCCAGCCTGCACATTTTAGTGAGCAAAAAAATAATTAAATTGTCTCTTATTAAAAGTTACCCTTTCCTCATGAATTAGCCACACTTCTTCCCGTGGCTTGAAATGACAACAAGTCACAATCACCTTGGGTGCGCTTTACAGCCCAAATGGCTCTCTCAAGTGACCATAGGGAATGACAGTTACTGATGCCGCTAGTGTAAACGACCAGGCGAATTCCCTCTACCAAGCACATTAAAAGCTATCAAAGCTATCTTCTAGTTACTACTAGATTGCATTAACTTTCCTCGCAGTCTAAGTCCATCAATTATCGTATCTTACGGTATCGGGTCCTCTCATTGGACCCTGCTCACTACCGGCCTTTCTCCTCTGTGCATCCTGTTTTCAGTGTGAAAATTGGTAGAATAAGAAAGCTAAAACAAGGCGAATAGCTGTGGGGATATCTAAATGCCATAGCTGGTAAGTTTAACATTCCCCTAATATAGGACTTTCAAGCATTTGGCTTGCTGTATTTATTCATATCAAATGGCAGGTGTTTTGATAATTATCATTAGGCCTTTAGCTGACTACGGGCTTCACTGAGGGGAGAAACATCTAAGTGAGAAAAGTTCGGAAAAGGGAGCAGAAGTGTTTCAAATATGAAAATGAGACAGACACAAAGGAAGGAAAAAGGTGAGGTGAGTACTGTGGGAGTGGTGAAATATGACATACAGTGGGGGTGATGGTAGTTTGAAGTGAGAAGTCAACTGCCGGTTAATTGACCTTTTTTGTAGTATGAGTATACGTTGCCCAGGGTGCACCACGTGGAGGTAGGTCTATCTCACATCCTTGGCTTGCTATAAATATGAATAAATATTTATTATTTTCGTTAGCTCCTGCAGCTTTGTCATCGAAAGAAAGTTCATATTACCAAGTTCTATTTATGTCATACCATCTTAATCCATTCAAATGCCAAATGACCAGTGGCACTCAGAAATTAGCACTTCCTCCAAAGTCTACCAATT